TCTTACCAGACCCATCCTCAGGCCAGCTTGAAGAACGTGGCTCAGTTTAAAGACGTGGTCTCCATTAAAACGTGCACTTTACCAAAGGAAAAACTTTTAAAGTCTGGCGAGAATACCACAGAACCAGAGCTTCAGAACTTTAATTGCAACTGCCAAAAGATTAAAACCCAAATTAAAATATCAGCATTAAACAAAGTGGAAGATTTGGTTATAACGTGCAATGGTATTAATGTGAGTTTGCAGTTTGGAATTATCTTTATTTCATATTTTAGCGCTTATTTTGGTAATTTTCAGACCGCTGAGAGTATTGCCGACCTAATTGACGGTTACTGCAGGCTGTTATCAAAAGACCTAGAGTTCACAATTTGGCATCGAGAGACAAACGCGTCGAATGAAGATAGCGCAAAAGCATTGCCCAATGATGCCACGCTGGGGTCGAATAAATCAAATTCAAGTCAGGGAAAACCGATTCTGACCGATGATTATGCCGAGATTGGATTATTGGAGGGCGAGGGCGAGGGCGACTACTCTACGCCCACCGTTCGGAATTATGAGTTGGACAGAGCCCTTATTACGCCGAGCGCAAAAATTGGTGTGGGACAGTTTGGTGATGTATATGTAGGCACGTATACGCTTCCGAAATTGGGCAAGGGAAAGAACTCAGCAGGAAATGGGAAAAATAGCAGTAGTGACCAAAGAAACGCCGATGCAAGGCCAGATGTTATTCAAGTGGCAATAAAGACATGTAAAGCTAACGATGATCCCGAAAAAACTGAAAACTTTCTTGCCGAAGCCTGTAAGTCTTACATATAACGTTTAATTTGAACGAATTTTCCTAAGACTCAACTTAATTTTCAGATATAATGCAAAAATTCGATCATCCCCATATTATTCGCTTAATTGGCATTTGCAGCGTAATGCCCATTTGGATAGTCATGGAATTGGCCAAATTGGGTGAACTGCGTGCCTACTTAAAGACAAACAGCGAAAGGTGATACTGAAGCATAATAATTAATTCGATTTTAATAACCCAATCGTTGTCCATTTCGATTAGATTAAGCCACGGTACGCTACTAAAGTATTGCTATCAGTTATCAACTGCTCTCAGTTATTTGGAATCCAAAAAGTTTGTTCACCGAGATATTGCGGCGCGTAATGTACTTGTCAGCTCACCCACATGTGTTAAGGTAATATTTAATGCACATTTGCTCTATGACTGAGATTTACTAAGTTGATTCTAAACTTGCAGTTGGCTGATTTTGGATTATCACGTTGGGTTTCCGATCAGTCGTATTATCACTCAACACCCACAGTTGCACTTCCCATAAAATGGATGTCCCCCGAGTCAATAAATTTTAGAAGATTTACCACTGCTAGTGATGTTTGGATGTTTGGTAAGTGAGATATGTTGTTAATAATGTACTATTGATTATCCTGTAATTATATTAGGTGTCTGTATCTGGGAAATACTCATGCTCGGTGTAAAGCCTTTCCAAGGCGTCAAGAACAGCGATGTTATACTAAAGCTTGAAAACGGGGAGCGTCTGCAATTGCCTCCCAACTGCCCGCCTAGGTTGTATTCGTTAATGTCCCAATGCTGGGCATACGAGCCACTTAAACGACCAAATTTCAAGCGGATCAAGGAAACTCTGCAGTAAGTTAACTTAAAATCAAGTGTATGCCTGATAAAACAATATATTTTATATTTCTTAGGGAAATTCTTAGTGAAGACAGCAATAATTCATCAGAGACACTGAAGCGGGAGCAACGAAAAGTGGCTTCCATGTCCTGGATCGGCAGTGATGACATCGACATTCCGCCATCAAAACCTTTGAGGGTGATGCACGATCCTGGTAGTTATTACTTTTTATTTAAGCCTTCATAAATATTTTAATGATTTATTTTGCAGACATTACTGGTTTAATGCCTGAAACAACGGGGCTACCTCAGACTTATATTATTGCACAAAATCCCGTGGTGCTGGCCAAGCTGATGATGGAGAACCAAAAACGAATCATAAATCCAGCGGCGTACACCACACCAGCATCGGTATTTAATACTCTAGCTGTAGGATTAGATGACACCAATCCGAATGTTTCGCTTAAGACTACTAAGCTTCCAGCAGCAGATTTGTTAAAACTTGACCCCATCGCAGAATCCGAAAGGATTAGGTTCCAATTTTCAGCTAATAGCAGCGCTAGTCAAATGGCTAACCCTCTTACTGCATCTGCTAATCCCCATGAGTCCCCTAATTCACACCAGGCAGGAATGTTTACGGGTAGTTTGCCTTCAAAGAGTAGCTTCGTCGTTTGTCCACCCCAAACAGAGGAACACCCGCCAGCCGAAAACATTTCTAACCCGTCTGTGTCCAAGGTATCCGGATATAGCCTATATGGAAGCCTAGAGAGGCACCCACCACCACCAGCAAAAGCCATGCACTCAAAAGGTGGCAGCCTGGAACGCCACCAGTCATTGATGTCAGCTCAAAATCTAATTTTCTACAATACAAAGCCGCCACCAAACTGCACGAATACTGCAGAGCGATCGAGGAGCATGGAGCGGAACACTTACTTCCATGCCTATCGCCAACAGATGAAAACCTCTATGGAATGCGATGCTCTTCCCGAGGAGATTTACGACTTTGGGGGCATCGGACTCAAGACCTGTGTGTCTGCCAGGCAGCAACCCAAGTTCAGCCCAATGGTTAATGTGCGCCCAACTGAACTGGGGCAAGTTCAAAACACAGATTGCATGGTATTACAGCCGAATATTCCTGTATGCGGCGCAATAGATTCCTTTGGAGTTATATCCCCACACAACTTGGACGAAAGTCTTAGACATCAGAGAGAAATGGAGCGACAGTGGATGGCTTCGGGACCACAGAGTATCACAGTTGGATCTAACATTTCTGAAGGAGCTGCTTGCCTGGCCACATTGCAAGCTGAAGCTATAGGAAATCAGGTTTGGCCTATTGGACACGTTGGCAGCCAAGCTTTGCATATCCTTTTTATTTCCCTGCGATTTTGTTTCTTTTATACTAAACAGCATTACAACTATATTTATAATTAGTAGCATTTTTAAGTTAGCTTTGATTTGTTTAAGTTTTAGTTCAGTTATTCGTGGAACCTTTGAGCTGAGAGTAACTCATCCTTTTAATTTTCAGGGCATACACAATGTTTTGGGCGAAAAACTTCGACAACAGCAAAAGGATAGCAACAGCGATAGCGAATGGTTAATTCAGGAAGAATTGCTGGTGAGTAACAAAGAAACACTCTTAAAAAAGTATCTTTGTCATCGTACCATTTTCAGCGGCAGAGATCCTGCTCAATACCTCAAGGATCGATCAATGATCATCAGGCACAAATGTTTAAGCTTGACTTCATGTCAGCCGGTCCTTCTAGTTTACCGGACTGCTCGAACTCCAGTTCTCGACCTATGACACCAAATGCTAATCTCTCTTCATTGAAGTCAAACCACTCATCGGCAGATCATTTGTCCAGCTTGACAGCTGCTGAAGAACAGATGGGCCCAAATGCACGAAACCTAGGCAGTGCGGCTTCAAGTCGACCACTAAACCGCGCAGATGATGAAGTTTATTGCGCCACTACACTCGTGGTCAAATCAATAATGGCGCTGTCACAAGGCGTGGAGAAGGCCAATACCGAGGGTTATTTGGAACTGGTAAAGAATGTGGGCGTCAAGTTGAGAAACTTGCTAACATCGGTGGACAAAATATCTGTAATTTTTCCAGCACAGGCCCTCAAGTAAGCGAGTTTGTTGTTTATAAAGTTGCTTCATTTCACGCTATGTGTTTATAGGGAAGTGCAAATGGCACATCAAGTACTTTCAAAAGACATGCATGAATTGGTCTCAGCGATGCGATTGGCCCAGCAATATAGCGACACAACGCTGGATTGTGAATATCGCAAGTAAGTGCTAACGCGAACGTAACTAATTTTGATATTCAAGAATACTGATTCTGATTTCGATTGAAGGAGTATGCTGTCTGCTGCCCACGTTCTGGCTATGGACGCCAAAAACCTGTTTGATGTCGTCGATTCGATTCGTCAACGTTATCAGCATCTATTCCCGCCATCCGCCACAAAAGAACCTAGTTGTTCATCAAGTTTTGAGTCAACTTCTGGCTCTATTGTCACAGAGCCGGTTAATGACCTTGGTGGATATATCAAGACGAGCACATCGGGAGATTTGCTTCAAAACACGGGAATATATGACAATGATCTGCACCATAGCTTCAACTCGCAATTGCAGTTACAAAACCCAAAAGCCACCATCGACTTAAGCGGCGGTGGCAGTCTGCAGAGAGGAATGAGCCTTGGCCTGGACACCACGAGGTCGACAAATGAACCCTTGCGAATTGTGGAGGAGACCCTCGGCAGCCCGGGTGAACATATGTACTGCAATACGTCCGCCTTGCACGGCCACGCGTAATTCTAAAAGCTTGTGTTTTTCTTTGCGAGATAGATATTAACCTAACGACCTAACTACTGTACATACTTAATATGCATATATATATCAGAATATGTATATCAGTCGAACTATTCAGCGGATAATTCGCTTATCTACGTACGGAATATACATAGCTTTGAACATACTTACTCACTAAAGTTTGACGAGACCCCAACTCGGCCGGCCGCATTCTCACATCGTCATGTAGTCAAAATAATTTAAGAAACAAAGACACGTTTTTGAATGAAGATGGCTAGTAATAGTAATTTATAGATAATCTACTCAATCTAATACAACTAAAAATTAAATTCATCATAATTTCGGGTGTGTTTTAAGACATTTATATTGTGATTTATAGTTTACCATTATAGGCTTTACTCGAAGCTAATTATTTGGTGCAAGGTTCAATCACAAAAAATAAACAGATTAACTAAACAAAAAGCGTCGTTTTTTTTAGATGTTCATTCCATCCAATGTTTGCTAGAACATATTCTAATCATCCCAATAAATAAAGAACATCGCGGAAAACATGTGGTCTGGAATTCTTTAATAAGTTAACATCGGCTCAAGTTACAACTTTATGTCTTCAAATGCAAATGTAATAAATCTTTTTATTGGGTCAACAAGTCATTAAATTCGGTGACAACACTTATCGTCATGCAAACAATGACGTGATTATACAGTTGGATGAAATCTTTTTCGGAAGTGTAGTTCGTTTTGTACTATATAAAGAAAATATTGTAGATATCCATTAAGAGATTCCATGTAAATGTTTGTTCGAGTTGAATTGCTAGCTTAGATATAAAACCGCCCCTTTACGAATATATTGTGCGCTCTATCCACTCCTCCAAAGTAAAGGTGGCTGTTTCATTCTTCTCGGTGTCGTGCTCCTTGAATATATCTATGAAAAACGTTTACAATAGAATTGGCACTTCTTCAAATTAGGACCATTAACATTACCAATATATGTCTTGATTTTAACAGCGCACATGATGAAATCATCGAAGGCTATTTTGCCATCACGTGAGCCATATCGATGGCCCAAAACATTAAGAACTCGATTGTTTAGATGATAGCCAGCAGAGTTGAGAGCCTCCCGCAGCTGGAATCCAGATACCCTGCCCGAATTCTCCACATCATAGACCTTAAAGATGGCCTTCCATTTGGCGATTTCCGACAGCAAAGTCTCGAACTCTTCGAATCCCAGCTTGCCCGACTTATCAGCATCTAACATGGCAACCATGGAGCGACAAACATCCTTGGAAAAGCCATGTGTCTCATCCACAATTGCTGTAAAGACTTGCTTGTATTTTATTTTATTTTAAAAATGGTATCATCTTACCATTTGCTGTTACAGGACCCCCATCCGACGGATTGTCCCCTATCAGCCTCTTGTTCGACTGATCATTCATGCCCAACTGCTCCTCGAACGGCGTGCCCTTCAAAAATGGTCCGCAAATCAAGGACAAAAGTCCACAAGCGCCACCTCCATCTTCGCCAGGACCAGCAGCCTGAGTCTCGAAGGCCATGTTATTGGAGAAGCGGTTGAAAACCACTGGTTTGGGTAAATCTGAAAGGAAATCATTTTTTGAATCACCATTTGGATCGTATTTCATATCCAGCCTCACCGTCCCTCATCGAATGGTCCAAAATGCGTTTCAATTCCATCCAGTCAACCTCCATGTCCTTGCCGGCAATGCTGTCGAACAAGCGTCGCAAACCCTCCTTTTGGGGATCAATGGGCTTGGGTGTTGGGAATCCGGGCGTTATCTTTAAGGCGAGAGTTATGATTATGCGATCCCATTAGCCACAGTTAACTTACCGGATCGGCATGGCCGCCATAACCCACATGATCATCATTCTCTCTAGATGGGAGTGAGAAGCGAAATGATTGATATTGAAGTGAATGGAACACAATTCGTTTATAGAGAAACAAATGGAATACAATACTATGTACAATACAAGGATTTTTAATGGCCTAATGAGTGTTGATAAGCAGATATTCAACATGAACTAAATTTTGTGGGCCCATTTGCAAATGTATTTTGTTGTGGGAGTTTCCTTTATTTTTACTTTAATAAATATATTGTTACATGACAAAAATACAATTTAAACGAGGGTTAAAAGTAAACAGAAAAATTTAACTTTGTTATTAGATTTAACTATGTTGCTACCACCCTTCTGATTTTACTGATAAAATAAGGAAATGAATCTTAATCAGTTCTTAAAATGAAACAGACAGACAGACATTACTTTTTAATTTATGTAGAAGAAATATATTTTGAGCATCAGAAATACTGCAGGCGTTAATCTCAGGGGTAAATATATATTAGGACTGATAAAAGGGCATAACCAACTTATCTGTTAGGAATGTGTAGAGGGTAAAAAACAAATCTAGTTAAATATTTACTAGCACTAGAGATTAAAGAATACTATAGTCACATACCACATATTGCACTTTAGAAGCTTTTAGTTATAGAAACCCCTCATTATTTCTAATATACAAACTCATTATCATTGTCTACATGTACGCACTCCATGTTATTTTGAGTTTCTGAGAACACTCGAATGAGGAACTCTCCCTCCTCGTTAGGATCGAAAGTTGAAGGCACAATAAGGTAGTGACCAGGAGGCAATTTGAAGCGAGCACACACCTAATAAAAACGCAAATGTTAAGGGATTGAAAGCATATCTTGAATATATCCGTATACGTACTTCGCGGGTGTTGATAAAGTGCGGCGATCGTCCCACGGAAGACTTGTATCTGAAAAAGTTCAGACCCTGCGGACGGTTCTCCAGTTCGCGATCGTTAAGGCTGTAGATTGCGAAACCAATGGTCAGGCATTCCATTCCCATATTGCGCTTCGATCTGCGGTTCTTTTGCATTAAGGCCACAATGACGGTGCACTGTCCCTCTTCGTCTTCCTCATCGGGATCGACCAGCGTGATAATGTACTGGGGGTTGTGCCAGAAAGTATCCAGGAAATTGCGGCAGCCACCAGCTGTAACACCGGGTGTCCATTCTCCCTCATACATGGACATCTCCCACTTTCGCTTGCCACTGTTCTGTTGGTCCTCAGTCAGTGAGTCCGGCGACAAATTGCAGATCTGCATAAAATCATGTGTTATAGTATATTTTACCAATAAGTTTTGATCGTCCTACCTCCACGCGATCGAAGTGGTTAAGGAAATCTTGGAAGGACATCCAGAACTCTCCATCTCTGTCGAATGTTAGTCCAATCTCCGCCTTCTGTTCCTCGGGTATATAGCGCCATTCCGGAGAGCTATCACTCCATGGTCCATTCCACTCGGCCTCATTGCCCCAAGGATTGCGCATTCTTATCATGGGGATCTTTCCCTGACGATTTGGCGTTACGATGTCAATAAGGCAAACCTGTTGACATAAGTTATATCAATTAAAAGTTATAATTATAAAAAGTTTGCTTACAAACCTTGGTTATGGAGTAAGCGTGTCCACGAATTAAGCCCTGAGGAGTTTCCGCCTCTGTGACATTTGGATCTGGCTCAATCGAGCAGCCCATCATGGAATTGCGTTCAGCTGCTTTTTGCAGAATGGTGAATAGATTGCCGGGAGCTTCTTTCAAATCGTACCACTCGGATACGCCGCCTGTAAAGTCCTCCATAGCCTCGCAAGTGCTGCCTCCCTTCAGTGCCTCGTAGGATCCATGAAGTCTAGAAAACACATAAATACATAAGTGGGCCGAAAAGTTGTGAAATAATGTAGTCCTACTTGGCATAAGCCTTCTCCAGCAGCGCGCTCCAGAACTCATTCTTCTCCGTGGAGTGCATGTACATCAGCTCACCATTATACGTGGGCAAACGGTCATCAATGATGACATCAACCCATTTACCTGGAAACATTAAAAATAAAATTGTAGGAAAAGGATGAAGAGTGCAGTTTAATAAATAACTTACCATACTGCCAAAAGCGGAAGTGGAAGATGCCAGCATAATTCTCCTCGAAACTTTGTTCCGCTGGAATTACCCGGAAGAAAAGATTGGATTCCTGAGTTAAATTGGCGGTGGCTGCCAAGAGCCAACTGTAATGGGTTCGAATTTATTTGAAATTGTTATACAAGTTGTGCAAAGATAGATTTTATTCTTACCAGTCACCAAGCTCGCCTTGCTGAACATCAAATCGTGAGTAGCCCTCAACAAAGAACTGGGGATTCTCGGCGATTTCCTTTAGAGAAAAAGCAATTATACCTTTAATAACAGGCAATACGATCGTATCAAAAACTTACATGAGGTCGCAGCCATTCGATGTGACGATCTGGACGTCGGGAAAACTGAAGGGACTCGTTCGAAGCCGGGAAAAGTGGGTCTTCGAAAAGGGAACCGCTGGCCAGGCAGCTGTTCAATATGGTCTCATAGTCCTGCACCTCCGAATAGGGTCCCAGGTTGGAGCTCTTCTCTCCCAGCTAAAAAATACGTGCTATTAGTGATATAAATCTAACTAAATTGAAGTACTTGAGTAATGGTATTTTGTATGTACACGACAAAGTTGTGTAATGGAGTTGAGTTGTAGAAACGATGATGCGTTTTACACTTTACATGCGAAAGAAAAACAACACAAGGACAACACAGTACGACACTTTGGCAGCGCATTATCCTTGGAAGGGAATTATGCCAATGCCATAAGGATGACGGGAGTAGGTACTTACGTTCCCATAGTACAAGGTACTACTACTTTGAGATTGCAATGGTTGCTAATGAGTGGAATGTATATGTATTTGTTAACATGCATATGTAGATTAATGGATTGTTTTCAATGTTCGTTTTTTAGTATAGTCCATGTAACTAACTACATAAGTGATGAATGCCCGGTGGGTCAACTTACAACTCTCATATTCTTGATGCTGGGCAGAACCCTTTTGGTGTCGGCCTCCTTCTTGATGAAGATCTCGTTGATCACCGATCCGACCACATCCTTGGCCGCTCCCATGGCAGCCTCTCCAGCTGCATTGAGGAACTCCTGTCCCGCTTGCCTCAAGAATCCCCTCAAGTCGTCCATCGTGCAGTTATCTGCAAATATACATACATAGTTTAATGTCAGTTAGCAATGCAAGGTGCCGCCTAAGATTAAAAACCCATTAATATATATTTATTGTTCAAACATTTGATGTCTAGTTAGCAACGTCAAATATTTATATCGCCCATATTTACTTGTTTTTCCTCGCGGTGGCATTAAAAGCACACCCAGAGATATAAATATGGTTTAACGAGCATTACAAAAGCGTTAGTATTCCCAGTGTGACTGGAAGTCTGGCTAAATGAAATTACTTTAATTCACGCAAACGGAAATTATACTTTGGAGACAAGAATTTCTCGGTTCGCACCCAAATATAATTCAAATGTTTCTACATATACAATGCTGTATTTATACATATATAATCTTATATATGCTATACTGTGTGACATCATTCAGAAGCATGAGATTCTCTAGTGACTCAAAGGGTGTGCGCCGTTCGGGAGATTGGGCTTCGTTTCTGATCCATATTAAGCCGGGATATTGACATTGACCAAAGTACTGCACATATAGGGTATATTTGTGTGACATTCGTAAATTGGCCTTTAATTGGGGCACAATATGCTAGTTTGGCCCCATCTGTTATTGTATTGGCGAACATTGGTAATTCCACGGCGAAACCCAAACAGGTTTGGTAATTAATGCATTCTCCAGGCCTGGCTCATTCCCGTGACCACCACATTTTTCGTAAAGAATAGAGGATTCGCCATAGGCACTTCACATTTCTAATATTAAATGGTTTCCCATTGCCCCAATGGACCTTGATTGGCCGAGAGAACGTTTTCCGAATTGAATCACGCACTTTCACTCCCCAAAATCACAACACAACAATAAAGTAACGGAACTGCGTACCTTCACCAGACGGAGATATTTACTCACTACAAATATTTATATCTGTAGCCTAACACCTGACTGCTATCGAATGTTTTGGTATTTTTATCGAAGCATTTCGCCGGTATTTCTATTTCTACCCTATCCCTTTTTCTATATAAATACATCGATAAAATCTTTAATATTGGTACAAGAAAATATCGATATAATATCGATATATATATATATTCCCTTAGGTTTGCCCATCTCTACGAAATCCGTAGTACGAAATATCGAAAACGAAACACATCACGCGGGCGAAATTTCGTGAAATTCAGCATTTACAAATTGTAAGCAGTGGTTTCATTGAACCCATCAACAAATTAGTGGGCTTCTAAAATTATTGATATACTTTATTAAACGAAATGAGAAAAAAAAAGGCGAATAAACCCGTACAGCATATTGTCCATCGATTTTTTCACGGCATTGCCGGTGACGAGAATGCGACGCCGTTGATACACACACACGCACGGACACGAATGTGTGTATATGGCGCGACGCTTGTGTGCGAAAGTGTATTCGTATAAATAATATGACATAATCGACGTGTGCGGCTTAATTGACATAGTTATTGTGCGAAGAATACCTAAAAGTGCGAAGAGAGCGCCCAAAAAGGCGTTTTTTGTTTGTGGTCAAGGTGGCAAAAAGGACTTGCACCGCTATTTTCCCCTGCGCTTTGCTCCAAATATTCATTCCTTCCCACACTCTCTCTCTCTCGCACACACACACACAAGCGTGTATATTTGGGCGTTGCAGGATGAAACTCTCTTTCTCTCTCCCACTTTCCTTCGCTCTCTTTTCGTATTCTCTTGAACACATTTTTGCGCAATTTGAGTGATTTGCAAGGCAAAGTGATGCTTTTTTAATTGTTTACCAAATTTAGTTAACCCCGTTTGGAAGCCAGTTTGTCTGGAAGTTACTTCAGTTTAGTTGTTTTCAACATCTCCACTTGACGTTGCCTAACACTGAAGCCGAGAATTCTCCGTCTCTGTCCGTGCGCAGTTCTCTTTTGCGCTTCATTCGTGCTCTGCCCGTCGGACGTGTCCGTACGATTTTGGATTAAGTTCTCGTAGGCAATTCAATTTGAATAAATATTATTTGCTGCGGTGCAACTAAAATTTAATTTAATGAATTAATAGTGCTAAGTGCCGTTAGCAGCGGCCATTTTGAAATAATATATTACCAGTTATTCGGTGTAGTGCAAGAAGCCCAAAGCAACAAAAAATTATTTATTTTAAATATATTGCACTCGAGGCAATAAAAAGTAAAATCTATTAAACATTTTCTATCCTCTCCCTCCCCCTTTTACCGATAGTCTCCCTCTGTGGCGTATGTGTGTTTGTACGAATTAGCGGCTGAAAATCAAAAACCGAGGTGCGAGAGCGAGAATACATATGTAAAAAACGCGTGCGTTTCTCCTCTAACACATACAGTGAGTGTGACCGTTGTATTTGTGACCTGTGCCTGTGCTTGCGGCCACTGGAGGATCAACGATTTTAAAAGAATACTACAAGTAACGGTGAGTATTCCTGCATTTACCGGATAATGTGTTATAATCCCGTTAAATAGTAAATACCCCATCGTGTCCTGCATTCGTTTTAACCGTTATAACGACGAGCGGCAATTTGGCCGGTGACGCCATCTTTTGTGCTTCTCTAATAAGTGTTGTTTTTTTTTTGGGTTTGGTCAAGCTCACGCAACACGGTGTGTGTGTGATTGTGTAGTGTCTATTTTGTTGTTATGCTCGATAGACAGTTTATTATTTAGGGGTTATGTACATATGTGCTTTTTAGATAATAAAAATATAATATTGCAATTTTCTTGGGATATTCTAGTATTAGTTTTTGGGGGCACACCCTATAGACCCCCATTCAGACGCCACTGTTTGAGCTTCATATTCTAGCCACTTTTCTTCTCTCTTTCTCTTTTTTCGGGTGGGTGTGATTGTGTGTGCGTGTGCTTTTCCTTTCCTTATGATTCATGCTTCTTTCTATCTCTGACTTTCTATACGCTTGTCGGATTAAAAAAATCTTTCCGATTTTCGTCGATGATTTTATTCATTTGGCAATTTGTTGCGAATGCCACTTGCAAATATCTAGCTGTGCGTCTAATGCACTTGGGCAATAAATCCTCCTGCTGGCGCGCATCTGTGGGCAAGTTTTGTGACCCACTTTTCCTCCTTGGTCTCTCGTCTTTCAGCGAAGTAAATAGCGAAAAGCAGCAACAAGTGATAAACAGATTTGTAAATATTGAAAACTTGTTTATTCCATTTGTCCGTGCAACCCAATGCCTGCAAAAGAGACTTTATAGTTGCCGAAGTGAGTTCTTGCCATTCAGTCGCTTCGGTTTTCAAATTTTTTTTTGCTATTCAGGGCTCATTTTGATATATTTGCAATCTATTGTAATATTTCACAAATAGCCATTGATAACCTTAGATTCATACTACAATGCAATTCAATGTGCTATGTTATAATGAAGCATTACGATTCAAGAATTTAGTCAACCAATTTTCCAAAGATTTTTCCTTAATTTCTAATATAATTTATATTAGAACTCTTCCCTATCAAACTCTTATATCTTACTTTGCCTTATACATAGACTACTTATGTATTTTGAATGGTGCAAGTCATAGAAGTCGGACTGTATGGGTGTTCTACCGCAATCTTATCAGAACCTTCGCGCTGGTTACGTTTTCTTGTTAGATAGCTGTTTCGTTGCAAGTACCTACATGTACACATTACAATAGCACGACAACATTACAATTAAAAGCTATAGGTGTTTTCTTTGCCAGCAACTAACTACCTACCTATTTTACACTTTCTTCAATTTATTTTACCTTACTTCCTATTCTATATTCTCATCCTATCAAAATCGAGCATTCCATTTGCCTTAGCTACCTATTGTGCGATACATGACGTCATTTCGCACACATTGCTTATAAAAAAAGGGGGAAAAAATGAAAATGTGCTCTTTTTGTTTGCTGGCTTTTGTTGCTAATTCGAATTTACTCATACAAATACATGGACAGTGGGCTTCATTGCGTATGATGCCTCCCCCTTTATCACCCCTTATCATGGTTTTCACTTGTTCCTCTTGCTCTGTTGTCCGTTTTCAATTCGCAAATTAGACGTGACTCGTTGGTTGAGGGTTTCAATTGAGGTTTTTTTTTGCACACCGCAAGTTGCATTTAGAGAATTTCCGAAAATCGTTGAGGCATTATTTATATTGAATTCCATTTGCAGTACAAATACTGAAAAGGTAAAGCAGGGACTCAGTTAAAAAAAAACTAGAAAAAATAATATAAAAACAGTTGCTTTCGCTAAAAAAAAGTGAGACATAAAAATATGATAACCAACATAGAGTAAAGAAAAGTACTAAGTCATACGATTTTGACAATTCTATTTAGCTGCGATTTCAACTGTTACTAAAATAAAGTCGAATTGACTCGTTTTTTCTTTGTGTGCATTTTATTCTCTCTGGAGGAAGTGCATAGTTAAAACTGTAAACAATTGTTGAGGAAACTAACCAACAAAAAATGTTGTGGAATGGAAATGAGACGGAAATTCGAAGTTGTGAGCCCCCGAAACAATAACAAATAAAACAAAAAAGAAAAGCGATAAGAAACGCACTTCAAGTAGACAAAAATACCAACTTTCTAACCTTCATTGAGGCGTGTCCGTCAATGCAAATGCATTTGATGGGTCCAACAGTCTAATGACTTTTGATTTGGGAACTGAAAATTGTTTACTCAAGCGAGTGCTTATCAAATTTCCCACTGACGTCACATCACTAGTGATTAATTGATTTGAAAATGGTTAGGATTAAGCTGCATAATTTTGATTAATGTGGCTGCAGTGGAGTTCCCCTGCGAGTCTGGCAACTCCGGCTAAGACGAAAAACAAATTTGTCCAAAAGCGAGTGCTTAAAATTTATGGCTCCATGAAAACCGAAAAATAAATTCTACTCTGTTTCTGCCCCAAAGCCAATTGACGTGAAGATGCAACAGAGTGAGACGGGCAAAGGGAGGGAGGGAGATGGCCAGCCTGAAAACCCTCACACATAAATAAATAAAAGAGGCGTACGTGCCAAGCTTCAAAACAGAGACACATAAGCAAGATTAAAAAAAGAGAGATGTTGCTGCTGGCTAAACAACTGCAGCTCATCAATAAAACAGCAAGAACAACAATAAACCAGGCACGGAAACCCAGCTAAAGAGATAGACAGAGACAGCAGCATGCACAGCGACAAGCAATAACAAATGTACAGTTGCAGAAGCAGCACGGCCGCATCAGGGAACAACAAACTGCCGCAACACAACATAAATCTTGGAAGAAAAGAGAAAAAGAGTTGTCAGCATGTCGAAGCTTTTACACCCTTTATAGGGTTTGCTAGAAATTTTTGCTTGAAAAAATCTTCATTCAGTAAGAAAAAAATAATTATCATACATGCGGTTAGTCTTAGTATCGAAGCTAAAAAAATAACTCACATTAAGTTACAGAGGCTTTTATGTATCTTTAACAGAAAATCATCGAATATTTTTCAATGCTTTTGGAACTCTAAAAAATATTTTAATTCACCTAATTTGTAGGAGATAAAGATCTCCATATTCAAACCTTGCCTTGAAGTGCAGTCGACTGTGTTTGTCACTGTTTGCTGTTGTTATTTCAGCTTTAAAAGCTGGCGACCCGCAGAAGGAAAGCAAAACAATGTGGATAATTATATCGAAAAGTTGGGGAGCGAAGCGGAGAAAAATGTAGACAATTTCTGTTAAGATGGGAAGATGATGATGATGGAGCTGTGTGTCTGCATTTCTTGCCTTCTTTAACATTTCTTGCTTGCATTTCTTCTGCGCTGCGCTTGAACTTCAATTGAATTGTATCTTCTCTCCTCTCTTTTATTGTGTACATACCCCTCTCTGTCGACCGAAAGTGATTGAAAGCCTGTTATTATGGTGGTCTGATCCGACTGAACTAAATTTAAATTGGAATTTAGGCTAATTTCGTTCTCTCCGGTTGT